CTAAGAATAAAAAAAGGATGTCTAACATAATAATTGCAGATATTCCTTAAAATAAGCAAAACAGTTAAGCAGAAACAACATCAAAATACTTAATTGATGAAAATTTTCCTGAATTGAACAAAATGAACATGCAAATAGAGGTAGCTCACCAGATCTAAATAAAATCAAAGAAAGGTATTCTACACGTAAATACTCCTGAGTAAATTGTTGAGTTACAAGTACAAATAAAAACCCTCTGATAACCCAGGAATTTCCTTTAAATAGAAACCTAAGAAAATATTCTTAAAATAAAGTAAACATAGTGAATAATACATAAATTAATAATGATAAATTGTATCCAAACCTCTAGATTTTTATCAACTAGACAGGCTGTGGGGAGAAGAGGAGAGGGTTTAAGATGCAACTTCAAAAATATAATAGAATTCTTTATCTCACTTTCAGGGGACTTCAAAGATCCTATTTCATTCTTGACTTTGATAACTAGATATGTATAGCTTCAAAGAACTCCCCCTACCCCAATCAAATCCAAAAAGCAAAAACTGCATAGTTCACATATTCTGACTGCAGTCCACTAAGGCTTGGAACCTTTTTTTTTAAGTTTAATGGAGAAAAGTTAAAACTTGGTGAATGAAAATACTCTAGCACTCATAAATAAACACTGCTTCAAAGCAAAACTATATTGAGAGACTATTTGAAAAATAATAAGAATGGAGCCATCATATCAAAACCTAGGATTGATTTTCAGGTCTGATTTCAGACATATATTCAAAGTTTTCAATGCCATTTCAGCAATATTTATAATATTAAAAAATGAAACAACATAGCAACAATAATAAGGCAATAGTTAATATTCAAATATTAAACTTATATTTTTAAATCTTTTTAAAATGGCATAGAAAAAGGTTCACAACATAGTATTATGTGTAAAAGTATAGTATCCAAAACTAAATATATTACCAAATATGATTTAATGAGAAGTGACATGCAGTAACACCATCTCTGAAAATTCAGAGAGAAACAAGAAGTAAAGGAATAGAGAATTAATGCCATAAATACATGTGAGAAAAGCAGACTGATGACCAAATATACTTTCTATGTATGTCAAATCACTTTTTAAAATAGTTCAGATCTGACCAATGTGTATTTCAAATGTCTTACCCTCAATACCATTACCCTAAATATCAATCTTCTAAACAAGCACTTAAATTTTTAGTACTCAATGTGTTGACATTATTTTCTTTCCAAGATGCTAAAAGTAATCCACTATGATTGTGACTAGTCTTAGGAAAAACCATACATCTAATCTCTACAGAGCTGTGACATGCACAAATGATTTGATCTCCATGGACATGAAGGTCATTGCATATTCTAAAGATAAGTTTTAAGAACAAGAACTGACAATGGATAGGCCATATTAGGTCAAATCTCATTATAACTATCTCTAAAAAGCCTATGACACAAAAGTGAAAGTTAGTAGTAATAAATGAATAAAAAGAGAAATTGGATTTTCTAATGAAATATAATTCTACAGCTCATATCATTTATGGCATTTATTTCACTCTAACCTGGTAGAAAGCCTTTTGGTAGCCAATAAATTTGACATGAAAATTAGTGCTATTTAACAAAGAATCCAGAATTCACAGTAACGTTAGTTTTTAAAATATATACCAAGCATTGACGATTAACGTCAATGTCAGCACACATCCATTAAAAGATGAAGGCTAAGACAATTTTATTAGAGATCTACGCCAAGAGCACACTTTGTGCCTGCCTAGGATTGTCAGTGTTCATTTTTCCCCTCAATGAGTAGCATCATCACCACCATCGAGTAAATTCGGGTATAGGTGGCATACATAAAACAGAAGGTGATTTCAGAGTATTGTGAAGCTCCTAATTTGCAGCTTTTTTCAGGGTATATGTAGATTTTAGTAACCACAGTAGATAAATATTATTTTGAACTATTTGCATGAAATTTCACAGAGAATCAGCCTGTGAAGAAAAGCTTCAAAACATGATTTTTTTTTTATTCACTGGCATCATCTCTCCTTTTTTTAGTCACTAAAAGAAATGTCTGTAAAAGAACTGACAAGAAAAGGACCATCACATCTTTAGTTTCATCTTTATGTGATAGTCTTTTATGCAGGTTCAATTCACTACTCATACTGGTTTCCTCTCTCTTCTGAGCATGGTAAACAGAATGATAGCCACACAGAGAATGCATGTCTAACTGTGAGTATGTTAAGTTACACAGCAAAGGGGAATGAAGGCTGCAGGTGGAGTCAAAACTGCTAATCAGCTGATATCAAGATGGGGAGATTATCCTGGATTATCTGTAGTCACAAAGATCCTTATCAGTGAAATAGGGAGGCAGGAAAGTCAGAGTTAGAGACACATTTGAAAATGCTACACTGCTGGCTTTAAAAAATGGACTGGGGAGCCATGAACTGAGGAGGGCAGGCAGCCACCAGAGGCTGACAAGCTAAGGAAGCAGATTCACTCCTAGGGCCTCCAGAAGGAACTCAGCTCCACCATCATCTTGATTTTAACCAAGTGAGACCTGTGTCAGACTTCTGACCTCTGGAACTGTTTGGGTTGTAGATTTTTGTTGTTTAAGCCACTGTTTGTAGCAATTTGTTACAACAGCAATAGGAAGCAAAGCACTTCTCACACTGAAGGGGGATACTAATAAAAATTGTAAGGAAAATACCTCCAGAAGAAGTCTGCCTTCTCCTCAAATAGAACCCATGAGAAAAGAAGGGTGTTTCTTGGGGTTATGGACATTTGGGAAAATTAAATAAATGTATACTTTTACATGAGACCATCAAGTAATGTACAAATGTATTTTAAAAGAAAAAGTACACTTTAATTATCAGTTTATGTATTGTCAATGCAAAGGCTTATTTAAGAGTAAACTTCACACAGTTCGTAACAAATGAATTTCAAGTAAAATTTTCAAGTACCTTAAATTTAATTGTTACTCTGAATGTTTTAAAATTTTATAATTTTATAACATTCTATACGAAAATCTTCCATTTTCACTTTCCCTCTGTATTTTTCTGTCTTCTTCAATGGATTCTTTTGTGTCTTTGCTCTCATACTACTCTAAGACTCTGTAACCACATCTTATGAGACTTTATTTACAGAAATTAACTTCTCTCATATTTTTTGGTCTTCTCTTTCTACTTTCATACTTCCTGCTCATGTTTCCTTGCTCCTCTATTTTTATACCTCCACTTTGGCATCAAACATGGTTCTTAGTTTCAACCAACCAACCAACAAATAAACAGATTTTGGCAGATTTAAAGAGAAAATTTTTTATCAGAGATACTATCAAGCCTATGCTGAAAAGCTACTCCTATAAATATACCTCTGTCACCAGCCCTGGGTGTAAAGAACAGAACCTACCATGCCACCACTAACAACTCAGCTTTCTGGATACTGTTCACAGAACAAGGGTCACTGTTGCCCTTGTGGCCTGGATGGAGCTAACACTTCTGACACAACCTACCAGTGGTCCCAGACCCTGCCCCAGAAGATAGATTACCTCAGACACAGGAAAAGTTCTCAGAAGCTGAGTAACCAAAAAGCAACCAAATATTCCACATTTCTCCTACCATATCTTGTCTGCAACTATCTCATTTTGACCATATTTTTACCTCAAAAATTTCTCCCTTAACAATCTTATGTGTCTTGATAGAATCAACCCCCATATGCATACCAATGGCTCCCAAATTTGTGCCTCTGGCTTGGCCACTGTGGGACTTCAACCAAGTCTCAACATAGGTCTTTTTCAGATCAAATATAGCTTTCTGTTAAAAAAAATTGGACGTTGGCCAATTGGTCTTGGCCATTAACACACATATCTAGAGGACATGAATCTTGAAAGTACAAACAGGAATTACCTGCATTTCTGTTCTTGCTGGAAACCTCAGTCATGACTAACCAGCTCTGACTATTTTCCAAAGCTTGACTGAGACAGCTGATATTTGAGAAAGACATTCTGAACGGTGGACAAATATTTATTATTCAAGATCCTTCAGACTTTATCCTTATATTAAGCTATCAATCCAGAATAATGACATTCTGACCTCTTAAAGAATTGCTTTTATTATATAAAGTTGATTTGAAAAATAATAATAATCATATTGGGAAATCTTTTTTGGTAAAACAGATACGAAGGTTACAATTATTAAATTTATTCAATACTCTCATAAAAAATTTCTCATGATAAATTTTTCTCAGAATGCTCAGAAATTAAAGTTGTTTCTTGTGATAACATTTACGGTTGTTGCCACAACACAACTATGCCGCCCCATTTATTCCACTTGCTCAGTTTTGTACTCAGTTGTGTTATTGTTTGTTCTCAGCCGTGTTGATGCTTATGTCTCTTACGTTACCTTTACTTCATAGTTACTACTTTTAATTTTTTTATTAATTTAATTAAAGACATCTATAACATTTCTAGGATAAGCCAAGCACTCTTCTACATATTAGGTATACAGCAGGGAAGAAATAATAGACAAAAATCACTGTCATTGTGGGATTTACATTATAGTAGGGGGAAGGCTGAAAATAAATGTGCCAGACATATAATACAAGCATACCTTATTTTATTGTGCTTAATTGCACTTTGTGGATAATGCCTTTTTACAAACTAAAGGTTTGTGGCCACCCTGCATCAATAAAGTCTATTGGCGCCATTTTTCCAAAAGCATCTGTTCATTTTGTGTCTCTGTATCACATTTTGGTAATTCTCACAATATTTCAAACTCTCTACCAGCAAAAAGATTATGACTAGCTGAAGGCTCAGATAATGGTTAGCATTTTTTAGCAATAAAGTGCTTTTTAACTAAGCTTTGCACATTGTTTTTTTAGACAATGCTATTGTACACTTAATAGATTATAGTATAGTATAAACAGAACTTTTATATGCACTGGGAAGTCAAAAAAATTCACATGACTCACTTTATCATAATATTCACTTTATTGTAGTGGTCTGGAACTGAACCTTCAATATTGGAGGTATGCCTGTATATGAGATGGTGGGAAGTATTATAGGGAAAAATAAAGACAGAAAAGTCATGAATTGAACAAACAAGGACTTAACAAATTTTAAACATGGTAGTCAACTGAAAGGTGACAATGGAAAACGGCCAGTGAGGCAAGAGTAGAAGGAGCAAGCGGAAGGGGGGGGGGGGGCAGAAAGAAGTAAGCCTGAAAGAGAAAGAAAAAATACCATATGATATCAGTCATATGTGGAATCTAAAAAAGAAAAAGGAAATAAAAAGAAAAAAATACACTAATGAACTTATCTACAAAATAGAAACAGACACAGATATAGTAAATAAACTTCTGGTTACCGGCGGGGAAAGGGGATGGGAGATAAATTGGAAGATCAAGATTTGCAAATACTAACTACTATAAATAAAATAGATTAAAAAATTTTCTCCTGTATAGCACAGGGAAATACATTCGGTATCTTGTAGTAACCTATAATGAAAAAGAATATGAAAACAAATAAATGTATGTATATGTACAACTGAAAAATTAGGCTGTACACCAGAAATTGACACACTGTAACTGACTATACTTCAATTAAAAATAAATAAAATAAAATAAAAGAATAAAAAATATCTATATGGACAAAAAAAAAGAATAGGTCTGTCTACTATGCAAAAACAGTTAGTAGCTGAAGGAGAGAAATCAGATGGCTGCTGCAAATCAAAAAATGGCTTGGATCACACAGAAGGACTTGATCCAGAGGAGAGCTGGATAAAATACTACATAATGAATAAAATTCATGTGAAATTTAAGGATAGTCAATACTTATAGGGGAGGGAAAATATCAGGGAATCAGAATGGCATTTGGTTTCTCTACAACACTGGATGCTAGAAGAAAACAGAGGAATGCCTTCAAAATTCTGGAGGAATTATTTTTCAAACTAAATGCAACCCAAAAGCAGAATAAAAGATATCTTTATTATGGTAGAAGCACCATACAACTGCTCTTGGGGAGTAACTGGAGAATGTGCTTTAGCAAAAGGAGAGAGCAAACTAAGAAAGTAGAAGGCACAGGATGCAGGAAATGATGGCTCAAATCAGGAGAGTAGAAAATAAAACCTACAGCTTGACAGCAGTGCATCACAGCACGCCCAATACAAGTGGGAGGAAGGGGTTCTCCAAGGTCACGTTCATAGGAGAAACATGGACTTGATAAATAGATTATATGATAAATGATATAGTGGACTATATGGAAAAATAAGAATATATATGTTTTAAAAAAAGTAGGCAAATAAAAATAAGTCCATTATTTACTACAAGTATAGTGCACTTCTTAATTCAACAAACAGTATTTACATTGTCATAATGATGTACATACAGATTATCAATTTAACTAAAAATAGTAATAGAATTACATGAAGAGGATGAGGAAAAGGAGGCAGAAGTACAAGGGAGCTAAACACACAAATAGTAAAAAGTAGTCAGTATACAACAGCCAAAACTAATCAGTAAATACCCAACAGTAAAAACATGTAGAAATACATGGAAATCACAGAAAGAGCTAAAACTGTTGACCTTAGAGATTGAAATTGGATGTGCAGTAAAGAAACACACTGTTTTTCATCATAATCACTTTTGGCATTATTTGATCTTTTGAAAGCCATGTACATGTATTAATTTAATAAAACTTTTATAAATTAGATGTTAAGAAATCCAACCTTTCATATGTATGAAACTAGAATTCTATGTAATATAAGAAATATTCTGTTAAAAATAAAGTGTTTGCATGTATGTACACTTACAAATTCTCTTCTCTCTCTCTCTCTCTCTCACACACACACACACACATAACCACATACTTCTAAGGTGTGCGACTTAGGTTTGTTAATAGGGCTATTAGTATAATTGCTGTATCTTGGAGGAGAGTAGTGCTATTATTTCCCCCATATACATAGTATAAACCAAACAAATGGATTTCATTCAGATTGTCCCCAGGTAGCCACCTCTTCACAAGAAAATAATAGTTTTCCTACACTAAAAACCTGTAAGTTATTTTTCATCTCCATATGAATTTCCATTACCCTAGTATGAAATATTGAAAATGGAAGATTATTATAGGAACACTATATAACTTTTCTCCTATCCAGCAGTGATTAGAGATTTCAGAATAATTTTCAAAAAATGATATTATACTTAGGTCAGCAAACTCAGTCATCTATTGAATGCAAATGCAACTAAAAGCCTTATAATTCTCTAACTATTCTGTGAGGGCAAATATTCAGCAAGTATCTGTAGCATGTCTTAGTATCAGCTTTTATGTCCACCCACCTCCCTGTCTCAGCTTCATTCTCAGAGTGGTAACAAGATTGTGGCATCAGTTCCAAGCCTCACATCTCCAAAGGGAAAGAGACGGGAAGTATTTCCACAGCTGTACCAGAAGTACCAGGAAAAAGCATTCAGATGCCTCATTACTGTATTAACCATATGCTTCTGATGCTTTGACATCTGAGGCAATGCTGACCCTGGAGAGAGCTAGCCAAGTCCTGGAGATAGTAACTGCTTTGCAAGTGTGCCTGCCATATGCAAATCAACCACCCAGGGCCCGTACCCACAACCACCTTTGTTACTAGGTTCCCACACTCAGGGCCATTTTTCCCCTGCCCTAATCACCCCAGGGCCAGGTATCAGACAACCAAGGACAGGCCCTACGCCCAGAGCCCACCAACATTATTCAAACTAGCCAATCCTAAACTTGCTCTGCCATTCCTTCCCATGGAAACCACAACTAAGACTCTTGCTTACATTTTCCCCTCACTCTGACTGCATCCTCACCATCCCTGGTGCTTCCAATGTGGTCCTTGCAACAGCATGGTATGCCCCCTGCTCTTGGTATCTGTAAAATAATAACCTCTTCTGAAAGGTAAGCATCTCTTGATCTGTTGGCCTTACCATATATGAATTATAATAATACCGATATTTTAAAACATTCTTCCTGCCTTAATTGCTGAAATTAGACTTAATTACTACTCCTGAACCAATCATTGGCAAACAATAAAGAATTATACTCAGACTTGAGTTTTCCAAACCTGTGTGAAAGGGCACTCTTGGTGCCACAGTAAATTCACAAGGGTGCTACAGTATGTTTTAGATTTTTGAAGGTAAGACAGTGATACTCAACAACTGTAGGAAACTACACAAACTGTAATCTCAAGGTAATTCACAATTTCAATATCAGATCTCACTAAATTCAATGATATCATACCTTTGAGAAGCTAGGTTTTTAGCAGCTGCTGTCATTAAAAAGCAAGTACTGTATGAAAATCAGTAAGGTTGAGGTAATGAGTGTGGCGATGTACATAGCCCTCTAATCTGATTCTAGATTTGAGAAGTTGTCTTTGGAGCTGTTAGGTATTTCTTTCTGCCTAGAGACATCATGAAAAAATTACTTAGATACTAAGAGCACTGGGAACCAAGAAATTTGGGAATTGGACTTAGACAAATCAGACCTAAGTCTGCTTAAGGATGACGTCAGGTTCCCCTCAGGAACACGGGCTTCATGAAGCATGCTTAAAGAGAATTTTGGTTCTGTTAGAAAGAAAGAAGAATGAAGTGTCTAAACAATATCCTCCCAATAAAAGTACTATTATTTCTCTTCAAATTATGAGGTTTGTTTCTTCTGCTAAATTGTTATTAAAAAAAAATCCTCATTTTTAGGTTGTCTTAAACCAGTCTGGAAACTTTGCTATAGGTCAGATATATATTGATTAAATTTTATTTTATGCAGATACCTTACATTACCTCTGATGCTAACAATAATCCCAACAAGTAAATATCATGACTATTTTATAGATAAGCAAAAAGAGCCCAGTTAGATTAAAGTCATTTAGCTGGCAAATGCTGGAGCAAGTGTGCCTGGCTCCAAACAAGACTTGATGTCTTCTCATTTAATTTTTACATTTCTGAAGTATAGTCGTGCTTCATGTTTCACCAATTAAGGAAATACTCTCTTTCCTTATCCTAGATGATCCCATACTCTTCTTATTGATTCTCCTTCTAAGTCTGTTTTATATTTTCACTTTTAATGTTACATTTAAAATACCTCCTTTTCCTATTTCTGCCCCAATCCCAAATTGATTTTCCTCGACCTTCACATCCATCCTTGTTCTCAGCACTATCTGTGTCCTTTGAGTGTGCATGAGTCTCACCTTTCTAACTTTTGTCATACTATATCCCATACTTCTATGGACATTTCCACTTGGATGTCTCATTTTTTACACTGGAATCAACATGTCTAAACTAATCTCATTGCCCTCCTTCCAAAACCAGCACTGGTCTCCCTTTCAATGGTCATGTTTGTCCCCATCATCTATACTTGAAACCTCTAAACTACACCCAATCTTCCCTTGCCTTCTGACCTCCTCCAGCTCACAATGAGTACACTAAGTTTCCCCTTTGAATCAACTTTTTTTCTTTATTCTTTTTTCTTTATAGTTTTTACTTATCTTAATTTCATTGTGATTATAGATTATTAAATATATACAGTTGACCCTCGACAACGTGGGGTTTAGGGTCCCCAACATCACTCCCTAATCGAAATCTGCTTATAATAATAGTCAATCCTTTGTATCCATGGTTCTGCTTCTGTGGATTCAACAAACTGCAAATCATGCAGTATTATAGTAGTATTTATTGAAAAAAAATCCACCTATAAGTGGAACCACGCAGTTCAAACCCATGTTGTTCAAGGCTCAGCTGTCGTTGA